AGCCCACCAGGGGTAAGGGAAGGGGAGGCCTTGGACTTCTTACCCAACCACTTGTCCCTCTGCTTCAGATTGATCAACTGGGCCCATAGACGTGGTCTTTTGGTTTTTCCCTCCTCTCTGACCACTAGCATGTCTTTTTAAAGATGACCCATCTCTCCTAGCTTCTACGTGGTGTCGGTTCAGCTGGCGATGTTAGTGAAGCCACGGGAGGAGGTGTGATGCTCAGGGTTTGCTCAGCGAGGTGGAGGCACCAGAACTCTGCTTGGGCTGGGTGTTTGGACCAAATATTCCCTGCGTTTGTCCTCACCTGGTGTAAGCCAGCTCCCTTGGCCGGGGGGCCAGGTTGCTCTCTGGAGATGTGGAGATGAACTGTGCAGGTGAGGTTTCCACACCTCCCATGGCCATCAGGCAGCCTGGTGCTCACCCTGGTGCTCGGAGTGTCCCATGGGGTGGCCAGGCCACTGGGAGAGGGACCCCCTCCTGGGGTGGGTGGTGTATTTTGAGGGGGTTGTGTAGCTGCTGTCACACACAGGTTATGTGGGATCCGTTTGGTGGCTTCTACTCGCTATGTGGTGGGTTGCTGGGGTTGTACCCGCTCTCTTGTGCCTGGGCTGCTGCTTCCCCCTGCCTTCAGGACTCATCATCTCCCACCGACCTCTTCTTCCCCTCACTGCTGCTCCCTGCATTTTGGCCATGTGCTAGCCACAGAGCCAGGTTCTCCTACTGCTGGGGAGATGCCGTGTCTCCTGGTGGCACCGTAGTCTGTAAGTGGTCCGTCTGGAGGCACACGGGGGTAGGGGAGGGTTTGGTGGGTGAACGTGGACATGGCACGCCGCTTTCCTTGCGGTGAGGGATGGGTTGTAGCTGCGGTGGACGCCATCTCACCCGTCCCCGAGGTGAGCAGCCACTTCCACTAACAGGACATGGTGTGGTTGACCCCATTGTAGCGCTCGGTGGCTTCCCCAAGCCACACAGGTTGCTGCAGGCGTCACTTCTAGACACGAGTGCTGGGAATTTCCTATCCCAGCTCAGAAGCACCTGCATTTGAGATGTTTATGGATGGACTGGGAAGGTCTCTTGAGCCTCCCACCACCACCAAAAGCCCCAGCAGCCTGTGTGGTGGTGCTTTTGGCACCGTGAGGGTTAACCACGGGGCTTTTTCAGCTTGCATAGAACCTGCTGGAGGTTTTCAGAGGTTCCCAGCTCTGCTTTGCCCGGCTCTCTAAAATTAACCATGTAACCTTCCTAAAAATACTCAGAGGGCAGTAGCCCCTGGAGAGCACCAGCTCCGATCGCTCCCAGTTTCTAGACCAAGCCATCAGAGAGATGAGATCACCTGGCAACGTGTCCTCTCGCAGCCCTGGAAAGCCCTTGGCTTTCTCAGAGGCTCCTGCAGGATACGAGAGTCCAGGTCTGGAGCCCAACCTGCCTTTCTGGGCCAGCCTTCTCCTTCCTGCGGCACCCTCCTCTTCCTTACTTGCTCCTAGCAAGACCTGGTGCCCACCTGCACCTCTCTCTTCGAGGAGATGGTGCCAGCTTCAGGTTTAACGTGGCGCAGGCAGGAGCATCTCTGGCTGCCCCCCGGCGCCTTGGGAGGGAGGAAGGGTCCATGGCTTTTCCCCAGAGCATCCCCGTGAGCGTAGGAGGCCCAGGCGAGGAAGAATAGCTTGGCCCTTCCTCTCTCTCATTTATTTTATTATTTTAATATTATTTTTTTTTTGGAGGCATGTGGGAGGAGGGCGGAAAGGGCTCGGGGTGGAGGAGGAGGAGGCAGGGAGCTGAATTTTCCATGAGCAGCTGTCAAAATGTAATCTCCTGCCTCGCTGGGGCTGGCAGCTTAGGCAGGATAAATTAACGGGGATTTCGGGGGACGTGGAAAATCCCATGGCCCGGAGGGTGAGGAGCGGCCCTTTCATCTGCGGGACCGGCTCGGGGCCCCCGGAGGGATGCTCTGGGGTGCTGGCTGTCTCCTGCTCTCCCCTGTTTTCCATCCAAAGGTCAACCAGAGAAGGGGAAATGGAGCCCGACCCCCTTTCCCTGCCTCCCTTTCCTGCTGGCGGGGGGCTCCGGGTGCCTGCCCGGGAGGGGGGTGCCGGCAGTTGTCCGTGCAATGCCAAGTATTTGTGCCGACAGCTGGGGTGCAGGGCGGCCCCCCCTACCCCGGGGGCCTTTCCATGCTCCTGCTCAGTCCAGGAATTCATGCCGTTACATTTTCACAATTTTTTTAATATATATATATATTTATTTCCCCCCCCCAGCTCCATCTTGCGAAACGCAGAGCCGGGGAAGCGTGTCTGCTTCCGTGCTTGGCTCAGCCCCCCGGAGCCCTGCCGGCATCTGTGGGTCGTGGTGTGGGGCTTGAGACCCTCTCCCTCCCTCTGCCCTGATGTCCCCACATCCTTGCCACGGGGAGGGGGGGGGCTGTGGTGGCCCTGGGGGTCCCCCATCCCCCAGGGAGCACCGAGGAACGTGACGGGCGTTCGTGCTGGCTATTTATAAACGTGTTAAAGCCACCCCAGCGAGCAAAGAGGCCCAGCAACAGCCGCTCGCTGGAGCTTGCAAAAAGCCCTGTTTTTGTTTTTTTTTTTCCCTGGTTCTTGCTGTTTTGCCAGTGGTCGTGCCCCGGTGGCCGTGGGCTGGGTATCCTCACCTGCAGCCCCTCTCCCTTTGCCCCCCTTGCACATCTCATAGGATCCCTTCGGGTGCTGCCGGAGCCAGCAGATCTGGGGCAGCTGTTTAAAATAACACATTGGCACAGAAAAAATAAAAAAAAAGGGGGGAGGGGGGGACACAACGACACAGACACACAGACCAGAGAAAAACGAGGTCTTCCCGTGCGGTGCCCCGGGGGACGGTAGGTAACCTCTGAAAGTGTTTTGCCCTGACACTCGGGTTGTAGCCGAAATACACCTTTCCCCTTCGCAGCTGCCCCACGCCGGGGGGTATGTCCCCCCTAAACCCTGCTGGAAACTGGCCCCTGGAGCTTCCCTGGTAGGGAGGGGTGACCCAAGTGCTGGCAGAGCATCCGTGCCCCGGCGGGATCGGTTCAGGCGGGGACGGGGACAGGCAGGATGCCAGGGCAGTCGGGGAGGAAAGGTGTCCTGCAAGGAGAGAGCGGTTGGGCCCTGCAGAAGGCAGGCTGGGAGGCTATCTGAGCCCTCTCTATAAATACACCCGGCGGGTAAACACTTGGGAGGAGGGGGGAAAAACCAAAAACAACCCCAAACCCAACTATTTCAGCTAATGGGTAACTGCTAATGGTATACATTGTTTGGGAGTAAAATTAGGCTGGAGAGGAGGAGGCAGATGGGTGCTGCTGCCCAACAGGCTCCGGCTGCTGGCTCTTCATGTCAATGGGGCCGGACTCGCAGCGGAGGGCCCAGCTGGGACAGGGATGTGTCCCTGTGGTGGCACACTGCAGGGCAGCACAACACCCCGCCGGAGGGGCCCTTGGGCTTCACGGCTCCTTCTTTTAGCAGGTCCCTTCAGATCCAGTCCCCCACCACCCATGGTGCTCATCCTTGCTGTGCCCTCCTGGGACATAGCCACCCTCCCAGAGGGGCAGGAGTTGGCATCCCTGTTTCTAGGGTTTCATCCAGGGAAGCAGGAATCAATCTGTGTTTATCACTGCTGTTAATGAGGGGGTGCTCAGGTGGTGAGCGGTTGCCCCGGCTCTTTGCACGGCACAGGTCTGAGCTGCCTCCCGTTAAAGCCACCCGCGCTTTTTCCTTTCCAAGAAGCAAAAAAAAAAAAAAAAAACCCAAAAAAAAAATGCCCTCGCCACGTCACATCCACGTGGTGGCAAACAAGGACCTGATTCATCCTTAGATAATTTGTGTATGTTCCTTTTCCCTTCTTTCCTCGGCAGCCTTTGCATATATATGAAGAGAGCTCTTAAGCGGCACTGCAGTCAAACCTGATCTGCTTTTAGAAGACAGGTCCTTAAATTACCCTCTGGCTCTCTGCAGGCAGGGAGTTGCTGGATGTTCTGGTGCAAACCCCTGGTGGCGGTGGTGGCACGCACGTGTCCGGCTGCGTCCCTTCCAGGGACAAACCCGTGGCCTGGAGCTGGCTGCAGTGGGAGGACAAGAAGTCGTGGGGTGGTGACCTGCAGGGCTGGTGGGGCATTTGATCCCCCTTGAGAGTTTGGGGCTTAGAAACCCAAGTTTGGGGCAGCCTCACTCGGTGACGCTGGGGAAGAGGCTGTGGAGGTCTGGCGCAGCTGGAGGAGGTGGTGGCACCGCTTGGCACCAGCCAGGCCCCGTCCTCACACCCGGGCAAGGACACAGAGCAGATCTGGCCATCACAGCCAGCTTCATCCAAGAGTCCAGGTCACCAGGCAGGGACAAGGTCAACCTGGGACATCACCCCGTGGGGTCCACCTGGCTCCTGGGGCTGCTGGCTGGCACCGCTGGGGCGAGCGCCCACCTTGCTCCTGCAAAAACCTGCAGAAAGCAGCAATTTGGGGTCTGGGCTCCAGCCTCCGCTAAAGAAAAAACTCTTTCCTTGTGGCTTTTCTGGCTCCGCCGTGCGGGGCCGAGCTGTGGCAGCGGGGACAGCACTTGTCCCAGAGTGGGGACGTGCCCCAGCACTTGCAGCCTCCGCTAAAGAAAAAACTCTTTCCTTGCGGCTTTTCTGGCTCAGCCGTGGGGTACCGCGTGCCCCGGGCTGCTCGTCGCCCTTTAAGGCCCCGGCAGCAGCTGCTGGTGGCCACGTGTGCTCTGCCTTGGCACCATCTTCCTGCCCTCTGCGCAACGGCGGGCACGGGGACGCCCGGCGCGCCAGCTTGGGTGGCTGTCCCCTTCCCCGGCGGCTGTCCCCAACGCCGGCGGGGACAGGATGAGCGGGCACCCCGCGGGTGCTGCGTGGGGTGCGTGCCACCATGCAGGCGGCAGGTGAGGGGGCAGCCCTGCCTTGCCACGGCATCCCCCCGGGGATGTGGGATGGCTTCTTCTTCTCCTCCCCTCGCTCAAGGGCTCGTCTCTCTGCTCTCCTTCCAGGTTTCAAGTGCCCCATTTGCTCTAAATCCGTGGCTTCTGACGAGATGGAAATGCACTTTATCATGTGTCTGAGCAAACCTCGCCTCTCCTACAATGGTAAGGGCTGGTGGCCAGGCTGGGGGGGGGGGGCACGGCATCCTGCCGGCTGGGGAAAGCTCCGGGCAGGCTTGGAGAGCCGCTCGCTGCAGGCTGGGCGGGCAGGCAGCTCAGCTGGGCTTGCCAAGAGGGCTGTGCTCCAGCAATCCCTGCTCTGCTCCGCTCCCTGGCATGGCTTGTCCTGGCTGCTTCTGCCCTGGGACCCTCTGCAGCACAGCCCCCCCTCCCCATGGTGCTCACCGTGGTGTGCTGTGCTGGGGGGAGCCGTCCTGGATACGGCAGGGGACGTGTGTCATAGAATCACAGAATGGTTTGGGTTGGAAGGGACCTTAAAGCCCACCCAGTGCCACCCCCTGCCCTGGGCAGGGACACCTCCCACCACACCAGGTTGCTCCAAGCCCCCTCCAACCTGCCCCCACCCTCACAGCCAAGAATTTACTCCTGAGATCTCATCTCAGTCTCCCTCTTTCAGTGTCAAACCCTTCCCCCTCCTCCTAGGGCACCCCTCCCTCATCCAGTGTCTCTCCCCATCTCTCCTGGAGCCCCTTGAGGGACTGGAAGGGGCTGGAAGGTCTACCCGGAGCCTTCTCTTCTCCAGGCTGGACCTCCCAACTCTCTCAGCCCCCCCCCCCAGCAGAGGGGCTCCAGCCCTCCCAGCATCTCCGTGGCCTCCTCTGGCCCCGCTCCAACAGGTCCATGTCCTCCTGGGCTGCCCCTCTGGAGGGTCATTGCCTTCCTCCCTTCCTCGCTGAGCATGGTCTGCAAACTCCTGCATCTTCTATCCCCCTTGAGTGATGCTCAGCCCCTCCTCAGTGGGGCTTTTTTAGAAGCCAGGGGTAAGGAGGTCATCGCTGCAGCTGCCCCGGCCCCATTTTTCCCCCCTGTGCCTCCACCTGAGCCTCCTGCCACCTCGGCTGCTCCGTCCCGGCTCCCCTCCATCCTGGAAGGGGGATACCCCAGGGGACCGTGTCTCACCGCTCTCCTCTCCTCCCCTCCCAGATGACGTGCTGACCAAGGACGCGGGCGAGTGCGTGATCTGCCTGGAGGAGCTGCTGCAGGGGGATACGATAGCCAGGCTGCCCTGCCTCTGCATTTATCACAAAAGGTACCGCCGCCTGCAAGGGGATGTGGCCAGGCGGGTGGCGGGGGGACAGGCGGGGACATCCCGAGGCTTGGTGGCACGGTGGTGACACGCTTTTCTCTCCCCAAGCTGTATAGACTCATGGTTTGAAGTGAACAGATCTTGCCCGGAGCATCCTTCTGATTGACCCGCCGGGCGTGCTTGCTGACTTCTCTCTAAGGTGAGCCTGCTGCCGGCTGCTCCAGTGGGATTTCACAGAGTCACGGAGTGGTAGGGGTTGGAAGGGACCTCTGGAGATCACCCAGTCCAACCCCCTGCCAAAGCAGGGCCACCCAGAGCAGGCTGGAGAGGATCGCATCCAGGCGGGGTTGGAGTATCTCCAGAGAAGGAGACTCCACCACCTCCCTGGGCAGCCTCTGCCAGGGCTCTGCCACCCTCACAGCAAAGAAGTTCCTCCTCATGTTTAGGTGGAACTTCTTATATTCAAGTTTGTGCCCATTTCCTCTTGTCCTGTCCCTGGGCACCACTGAAAAAAGTCTGGCCCCATCCTCTTGACATCCTCCCTTGAAGTATTTATAAGCATTGATCAGATCCCCCCTCAGCCTTCTCTTCTCCAGACTCAAAAGACCCAAGTCCCTCAGCCTCTCCTCGGAAGGGAGATGCTCCAGGCCCCTCACCATCTTTGCTGCTCTCCCGCAGGTCCCCCCCAACCTGTCCCGGTGCAGGGGGTTATTTTTCTCCAGGTGCAGCACCCTACACTTGCCCTCATTGGATTTCATCAAGTTTCTCTCCACCCAACTCTCCAGCCTGTCCAGGTCTCGCTGGATGGCCATATTTACCCATGCTGGGTTTGGATCCGTGGCCAGGAGGGGAAGGTGGGGTGGGATGGGGTGGGATGGGGTGGCCGTGGACCCTGCTCCTCACCCGGCATCGTTTCTCTCTGCCTTTGCAGGGCACCTTGCTATTACCTGCTGTACCTCCTCTCCCCGTCCTCCCCGCCCCGCCTGGAGTTTTGGGCTGACTTTAAATTCCTCGAGAAGACAAAAATAAAAACCCAGAAACTTGAATCCACTTGGGACAACAGCGAATTATTATAATTTTTTTATTTTATTGTATTATTTTTCTTTTGTTGTTTTTTGGGTTTTGTTTTTTTTTTTTTTTTAAGGTTGGACTTGATGATTTCAGAGGCCCCTTCCAACCATGGTGATTCTGTGATTCTCTGAATATGGGGCCAGTGGACCTAAAGTGGACCAAAGTCCTGATTTGACAGCTGGGTGCCTAGACAGACACTGTTGGACTTCTCCTCTAGCACTAAGCTTTTATTTTTATACAGCTACACTGACCTCTGTGTCTGAGTTAGGGATGTTTATGTTCAGGATTCATTAGTTTTGAATACATAAGAGGACTCAATTGTATTCCCCAGAACTTGCCCAACAAGCAAAACTTAATGATTTTTTACAAAATCAAACTCATCCAATCAATATCCATTGGTGCTATCTATTACATACTTGGCTTTTTTTTTTTTTTTAATTTAAAAAAAAATATGAAAGCAAAGAGACATCCAGGAGAAGACAGTGTGAGAAAAAGCGCGGAGCCACCCGCTCATCTCCTCCTCAGCCGCCGGTCACCAGGAGAGCTCTGCCCACCAGGGACCCCCCCGGGGACGCCCTCGCCCCAAACCCTGCCATGATGTTTGGCTTTTTCTCCCCGAAACGAAGGGGAAAGCTGCCGGGGGGGGACAGCCGGCCAAACGGAGC